AAACTCAGCAAAATACTCTAAAAGAGTCCAGTAGCCCATAATAGCATTGGGTCTTCTGTTTAACTGGCAATGTCAGAAGTTATTGACCTGAGTCCCCCACAGCTCAACTTAACAGCATGGCTAGAAGCCTTCTAAATATAGAAGCAGCACAGGGTACCCAGAGATGACACAAATCAGGGGTCAGGAGGGCAAGTGGGGCACGGACTCCAGCAGGGCATGTCAGGGGCCTGTGGCTTACAGACGTAGGACCTGCCTGTGTGGCTCAGCCGTTCCCACTGGGAATGAGCCCCTGAGCAGCAGGGATCGCGGGTGCAGTATATGTGCACTGGCCTCACTCAGTATGATGGGGAAGACTTCAGGGCAGGGTCAATAAAAGTTCAATTCCTCCTCCCCCACTTCCTCCCTGTGAATATGAGTTGGTGCAGGTCACTGCAGGTCATGATGTAAGGTTGTGACGTGCTCAGGTTGCCACTGTCTGCTTTGGGTCTGATGGGCTTCAAGAGGAAGCCCAAGCTGCAGCTGCTCTGGGCAGTGCCACCACTGCATGTCCTGCTGGCCAGTGGCCCAGCACAGTCACTGTCGAGGGTGCTGGGGTCCTGGTTCAGAGCAATGGAGAAGTCACATGGGCTGCACTTGACAGCTAGGAGGACTGTGAAGTCTGCGTGGGCAGGAGGCTGGAGGTGGCTCTGTGCCCGGAGTCAGATTCCTGGCAGGTAGAGGCTGATACAGCCCGAGGGCTGTTTCTGAGGCTCCGAGACTGCTATTTTAAGGGCAATGTGCCTATACTTGGCCTCTGTCCATCTCTACTACTCAGGGCATCACAGTTCGAACACCAGGGCCTAGCAGGGTGCTCTACTCTGGGAAGGACTGATTGGAAGGACCCTGCCCTTCGGGCAGAGAGCCCAGGTGGCTCAGGGAGATGCAGCAGTGGCCACCGGTGCAGGCTGTGGTCAGTGCTGTCCCAAGGCAAGGGTGAGGCCAGGAGTCCCTGGGTGACTGGACAGAACTTGCTGTCCCAGTCCCTTGGGGACATGACCAGGGGAGCAGGGGAGGGGCACAGCTACAGAAATGCTGCCTAGGGAGGGGGCAGGAAGTACGCTGGGCGTTGGTCCAGCTCAGTGCAAAAATTCCAGGGGCGGGGAAAACCCTGGAGCAGAACTGTGGCTGCAGAGCTGGGTGTGGGCCTGAGGAGCCGGAGCACGTGGTGGGCAGGCCCCTGTGAACCCTGCAGTTCCACTTCTGTTCCCCAGGGCCTGCGTAAGGGGACCCCACAGGGTGGGCTGAGTGCACTGAGGGCTGCGCAGGGGCTGCTGCCCAGTGTCCTATTGTAAATGCTTCAGATTTCTTTTTGATACTGACAGTTTACAGTGCAGTAAATTTGGGAAATTCAGAATGTAACTAAGGAAATAAAATATACATAATCTAGCCATTGTTCAGCAGTGTTCACAGTTAGCATTTTGAAACATATAAGGCTCTATAATCCCCTCTCTGAAACCCTGACAGCTGGGAATGTTTTTGGGATAGAGAAAGTTTCAGATTTGTAAGATTTAGTACTATACTGCACATATTGTAATATCCCTCTAGGGATCAGAGATGAAGCCTTATCATCTAACATGCAATATTTCTGCAGTGAAACAAATACATAAACACAAAAATATTCCTTCAGGCCCAATTTTGCTGTAAGAGTTAAAAAGAAACTTGAAGCTTCCAGAAGCTTTTGGGCTTGGGGACTGCAGATAAAGGGTGTTTATATAAGAGGCTGTCACAGCTGGCAGTAGAGGCTGTCTGGGTGCCTGTCACATGACTTCTCGCAGCTCCCCACAGCTGGCAGTGCACATGCCTGTGTGCGTGGGTTGTCATCCCCCAAGCTCCGCCTATCCATACACCCACGCTTCTTTATTATCTTCAAGTGCACTAGGTATCCTGATGGTATTATCAGGAAGACCACGTACACCCACCCTGGATTTAGTCAAACCAGGGTTGACCCTGGGTTTGAGAATGCTAGGAAGGGGGAGGGAGAAAAAGGTTGGAGTAGGGACCATGTGCTGGTGTCGCAGTCCTGGCTTTGTTGTTGGGAAGGGTCTAGTACATCTGACGCTGACACCTGCTTGTCTGAGGTGCCCTGGCTGGTCCAGGTTTCTTCGTGTGGTGTTCTCTGTAAGGTGGCCAGGTAACAGCCTTCTGGGCACTGTCTCCCACACCTAGCTATTTTTGTGAACCATGCCCTGTGACTAGCCGGCAGGGGTCACTCTTTCATCTCCATTTACCCTTTACACAAAGTTCCAGGTTCCTGAGGGGACTGTGGTTCCCAGCCCACATCCCTGCTTCCCCAGGTGATGCCCAGGGCCTTTGAACCTTTCCCGGTTGGTCTTGGTTCATCTGAGGAGATCTCCCTGTGTTTCATAGGGAATAAGGTCCAGGTCTTGCTTTGCTTTCCCACAAGATGCTAAGATTCCCATTCTGAAGGACCCATCTTTCCTTTCCTCTCACAAATTTTTCTTGTTGGGGCCTTAGGAAGGGGCGACCTTGACTGAGCCATGTGAAACCTCTTTTGTCCCCACCCTGACATTCTGTACCTCCTAATTCTCACTTTTCCCAAGGAAGTCCATTCTCATGATGATTCAAATACCGAGGATCTGAATTATGGTAGTTTTGAGTCTGTGCCTGGATAAATCAGAACCAGACACAAAACGCAAGACGACCCAGATTCAAGTGTCAGCAATGTCTGCCTTTGATTTTCCTGAGATCATTTAGTGTACCAAGTTTGGTGTCTATGGGCTTGGTAGGCGTGGGCTTGGTTTTCTCTTGTGTATGCGTTTGTTTTTCTTTCAGGAAGTTATGTCATTTAGAGTTCCTTTTGCTGAAAAGCAAACTCTGAACAGGCTCAAGCAAATGGGTGATGGCTGACATGAAATCAGAAAGCTGTATGAAAATTTGGCTTTAGAACAGCCCCAGCTAGAGGGAACAAAGCCCCTGTGCTGCCCCTCTCCCAGCTCTGCAGTCCACCCTGCACTGAGCCAGCCTCAAGCCCATTGTACAGGGGCTTGAAGGGTGGGGGCAGAGGCTCCTGTGCCAGGAAGTTCCAGGAAGTGACATTATTTCCCTGACCCTGATTGGATTATTTGCCTAAGCCCCCACAATCGTGGTTGTTGGGGAAACCCAATGTTCTGATGGGCTTAGACCTGAGGCGATGATGTGCTCCACTCCTAACTGAGCCCCTGGCCACCCCCTGCAGACTTCAGCCTCAGTTTGTGGCACTGGCCAAGTCTCACTAGCACTGGGCTGAGGCCATATGCTCACAAGTACTGTTTGTCACTCTCCAGGGCCAAGCCGAGGACCCCACAAACCCTGGGAGTTCTCAGGAGCACATTGCACTTAGCACAGAGCCCATGAGGGTTACAGTCATTGCTATTGTCAGCACAGTGCCCAACCTCACCCTGGGCAGCTCACCATCTGCTCTGCAGAGCCCCTGCCCTGGCAGCCTGCTGTGAGGACGGGGCCTCTCTCCCTCTGACCTGGCCCTCCTCTCACCACTCCTATCACACATCAATACTTGTGCAGGATGCCCAATGGCCATGCAGCACTTGTGTTCCTTCTGAGCAACTGGGCTTCCCTGGAAGGACTGTGGACTGTTGGCCTCTTGGCAGAGGACTGTGCCATGCAGGTGCAAAGCAACCTGGGCCCACCCCCGGCCACTGGCCGTTCAGCTTCATCCTCCTCTGTTGGTGATGTCTGGATAGTTGGCATAGAGAGACAGAGGCAGCTCATCCATCTCTTTCAGATCTAAGCCGTGACCCTGGCTTCACTATTCACTGTGGAGTGAGAAAGGTCCCCTGAGCACCGGTGACAGGGCTGCCTCCCTGAGTCAGGGACCCCTTCTGTCCCATGTGAGATGGCCACGGAGGGCACTTGCGCCTCCTCCAGGTGCTTGGCATCCACACCTACCTGCAGCTGCTCAGAGGAATAAAAACTTGATCTACCTTGGGTATGAGGAGAGAGCCGGGGCCGGGAAGAGCAGGCTGGGGACCCCTCCCAGTTCCAGGTTCGGACCCCTGGGATCCTGCTTTCTTCCTGGTCTGTGACCACCCAGGACACTTTCCTTCCAATGAAGAATCTCATCTTGAGTCCAGGGCCAGTGGCAGCCTTTGGGGATTGGGTAAAAATAGAACCTCAGTCCTGGTCAGGAACAGAGGGGCCCTGCGCCTGTTTCAAGCCTTCCAGGTGATTCTGAGGCACATTCAGGTTCACACACTGTGCTTTTGGTTTTGGTGCTAGGGATAGAATCCGAGGACTTGGACAGGCTATGCATTCCCTCCATGCACCATGATGTGGATCAGAGAGGTAAATAAAGTAAGTGAGACAGTTGTCCCTCATGTCCAGGACAGATTGGTTCCAGGAGCTCCCTGCAGATATGAAACTCTGCAGATGCTCACAACCTTTGAATAAAACAACTGCAGCAGAGTGAGGGCTATAGTGGCACAGGGGGACATGAGGAATAGCTCCTGGCAGTCTGTGTGCAGCAGGGCGACTAGGATTGGAACAGCTAGCTGAATATTTCAATATAGCCAGTAGACACAGAAAAAAATGATGCTTCCTGGATTTGGTTTTGTTTTTGATGCTAGGGATGGAACCCAGGGCTTTAAGCCCGCTAAGCATGTCTGAGGTGACAGATATGTCACTTACTTACCTGACCTGATTGTGTTGTGTATTTGTACTGCAATGCTACTTTGTACTCTGGAGCTATGCACAGTTATAAGTGTTCTAAGTCTCAATTTAAAATAAAAATGTATTTAAGGACAAAGTGTTTTGGTCTTTGCATATGACTTACCTATATTTTCCCTTTAAATCATCTCGAGGTTACTCAGAACTCAATATCATAAAAATATGATGTCGTTGCTATACTATACTGTTTATAAAATAATGACAAGGAAAAGCCTTGACTGCACAAAGATAATTTTTAAAAATGATTTTCAGTCCAAGATTAGTTGAATCTGAGGATATGGATGCCATGGATATGGAAGACTGACTGTACCACCTAATGAGGAGCTAGGCCCACAGCGGATGCTAAAGGTGGAGTAATAGTTGAGTGAATGGGCATTTGTTTTCTGGCTGAACCCCTTGAAGCCCTGATCATACAAACAACTGTTTAGAGACATCAGAGGAGGGAACATAAGATTGGATCACAATGAGTGATAAGTTCCAGAGGTAAGAAGGGTGGACCACGGCCTGGACGACATCACCATCTTGGGGACTAGGGAGAAACCCAGAAATACCAGAAGCTTGGTTATCCACCAAGGACTTTAAATTCCCAAGTTTTGGCAAAGGGGAATAATCTCCCCTGTGCCTCCACCGGCTCTCTGATGTGCAGTCTGCACACACACTGCACGCGCCGTACTGTGATGTCCTTACTCACCAGCCAGGTTGGCTCTCTCTTTCCAGCTGGCCCCGCTCTCTGCCACATCATCTCCCTCTGTCCTCCTCTGGGCCCGCTCCCACACCCTTCCACCATGGCCCCAGATGTCTGTAAGTTCCTCCATCTCGGCTGTCTCTATCCTGGCCACAGAAGCAGTGTTAGTCATAGGCACTAATGATCCTGATGGTATTTAAGAATGACCTAGACATAGAAGCACCTCCTGGGATGCCTAAGGCAAGATATTTGGTACTACCAGAACCCAGTTCCCCTCCTTCTGGAGGAAAAGTTGTATCAGAACTTCCCAAAGACTGGCCAGAGAGTGACTTGCTCTTTGTTGTGCTATTGGTACATGAACTATTCCCAAGATGCTAGACATTTCCAACGGGTATATACAAAGGCTGGCCTAAACATACAGCATGTTTAGGTTTTTAAGAAATTATTACAGTAAAGGACACATGGCCATGAATCTCCTCAAATGCTCCCCTTGGCTCTGAACACACTCATCCATTATTCTTGCTACATTTTGGAAGCCTCTTTTGTGACTACCTTCACAAGGTGTGATCAGAGCTACTACAAGTACCATTGCCAAGTGCTGTCCAAAGGAAGGGCAGGTGCATAACAACATTCCAGTGTGTCCCCATCTACTTTACTCACTGAATATGGCACCCAGTGAATTCTGGCTCTTCTCCAAAGTCAAAATGACCATCAAGGGTAAACACTGTAAATTAATTCAGAACATCCGGGCAGCCATGGTGGCACAACTAACGACACTCACAAAAGAACTTCCAGAACTCCTCTGGAAAGTGTGAAAAGCTGTGGCTCAAGTGTTTAAAGTGAGGGGTTGGATTTTTGAAGATTAATGGGAGTGAATTTTTTTACTGCAATAAATTTTAAAATGTAAATATTTGCCATATTTTTCAATCACACCTTATAAGTTTAGGGACCAGGGCCCAGCATCAGGTCACTATACCGCTCCCTGCAGACTGACATAGGCAGCTGAGTGACCGCAGGGGGCCATGTACACAAGGCTGTGTGCTGGAATCTTTTGGTTCTTGTGACACTATGAGGTGACATTTTGATTTTAAGGAGGAAGCTCTTTCATCCACGTTTTCTCCTTCGTCTTGTTTCCTCTCTTTTTGTGCTGAGGTTCATCCACACTAGGCACACACTAGACCCTGAGCTCTGCCAGTTCTTAAATCTGGTTTCTTTATCATGGCTCAATGGCATTGGACAATCCCAGTGGGCCTATAGAACACTGGGGCCAGCCATGTGACTGTGACTCAGGCAGCTGTGGACACCGATCTGCGATCTCGGGAAGACATTCGTGGACGTGTTACTTATGCTGACTGTTTTGCTGCAGCACCATTGGGCAGTAAGGTGTGAAGCTGCTGAGACTAAAGATGCCATATGTTTAAACTTCAGGCTGCTCAGTGAGTTAGAGGGATCCCTGATGTCACCAGATCTTTCCACTGCAGAGCTGGAACACACATCACCCATGTTTTCTCCACACCACAAGGCCTCATGGTACACTTGAGGAAGACAGCTCCTACTGGACCCTGAGGAGTGTATGACACCCCCATTCCAACAATCCAGAAATGAAGACTTGACCCTACAGATACCAGAAAGAATAAAATAAAGCCATCACAGGACACCCCATCTTTATTAAAGGAGGCAAGGCTGTGGTTTAAGGGGGGAGGTAGAGTGGGGGGACAACACAAAATTTCTCATATTTAGAAAAAGAGAACTTAGAGTCTTTTCAAGCCCTAATATTACATTTGTTTTATCTGCTGCCATGTTCTGAAAAGGATCAGATGTAGAAAACCAATCACTAGTTTTGTAGCTGATCTGCGATGTCCCAGCCATGTATCAGCTGCTTCACAGAAGCCTCTACTCCTCAGCACTGACTCTGTAGGAAGAGGAGACTGAGACAGTGCACGTGTGTGTGTGTGTGTGTGTGTGTGTGTGTGTGTGTGTGTAGAAGGGGGCATCCCTGCCTCAGCTCACTGGTTTGTAGGTGGGGCTACACAGCTGTTGGGCTCCACAGGGAGTCATTCCTGCTTCTCTTTCCAGATTGGACGTAGCGCCTCAGAGGAGGGCCAGAGAAGTAGGGATGTCATCCCCCTACCCAGGGGCAGGGGCAGCTGGAAGCAGGAAGGACCTGTGTATCCAGTATCCCCACATCAAGACTGGGCTACTTCTGAGGCACAGTGCATGGTCCAGAGCTGCATCTGGGCTGCTGGATCTGGGCTGATATGTTTGGCTGACCCACTTTAGGCCCTCCTTGTTGCCTCACCTGTTCTGTCCCAAGTCTCTGAGAACAAGGCCTTTTCCTTGCCTTGTACCAGATCCCTGGGCTCAAGACTCCCCCTGAGACAGTACCTGGAGCTGTCTCTCTACACAACTACCCTCCCCAAACCCTAGTAGCTTCACAGTCCCCAGGGTTGACTCAGGACTACGCCATTCTCTCAGGTCCCTCTGATGGGGTTAGGATGCACCTACCTAAATTAGACCCAGGTTCTTTTCAGAATGCCAACCAGTGGGGACCACAGGAAGGCAATGCAAGTGTTAGGCATAATGGAGCCATCTGGGGCTGGCTATTTTGTGATAGGTCTGCAGCTGTCCTACAAGCATGCACAAGAGAACACACTGTCCTTCCAGGGCCACCCGAACCCAGAGCTCTGGAGAGGACAGTGTGCCATCTCCTCCAGCTTGAACTACCCTGTGAAGAAGGCCTCTTTCTTATAGCAAGAGCACAGGCAACTACACATTGTCCTTTAAAGGCCTGGCATGTCCTGGTCACCTCCCAGCAGGCCACTGTGCCTGCATGGAGTTGTGACCTCTGAATGTCAGATGGGGTGGGAATTTGCAAAACAGAAGGGGTGGTCAGGGTACTTCAAGGCTTAGAAGCAGCTAGCTTTCTGCTGGTTGGGACAGAAAGAGTAAGGAGATGACCTCAGGGCCACTGTCAATACTAAAGGATACAGTGTCACCCAGACATTAGACTTAGGATGGGCAGAAATAGATCAAAGTTTGAGAATGGGGACATTTGACTTTTTCAAGATGCCACTGTCCCTTTAGTTTATTAGCTTTCCATAAAAACACAGAACATACACAATCTACAGTATACAAAGTATAATTTACAAAAATATAAAATCTTGGTTATTTTTTAGTATTCCAACATATTACTGTATGTGTTATTCCCATACACATTTAAACAACCCAACCTACCAGCTTGATTATCTCTGAGGAAAGGTGTCAACTCCCACCCTTTTGTTTTAAAACAAAATATATATTAAAAGAAAGAAACCCACAATGTTATGCGTGCATACTGTATGTAGAAAAGCACCTGCACTGGAGTGGGAAAGAAAGCACCCACTTATGCCATGATGAGGCCCTTTTTCCAGTTTGTAGCCTAAAGAGTTTTAGACTGAGCATTTGAAGAGCGGTTCTCCTGACACAGGGGACTGAGCACCCCCACATGTGCACAGCCTCCCCCCGCCCCGTTTTGAGATGATGAATGCACAGATGAATGCCCTGGGCACGTCCCACTTGTAGGCCTTGAAGACAGTGGGTTGAGGGGTGACCTTCAGGTGCTTCCCGACACCTCAGGGTGTAGACTCAGGAAGCATTCAGGGGGCTCTGTCACCAGCAGTGAAGACCCACCATCTTTCTGGGCACAGCAGGGCTACCATTAAGCTCCGCCCTGTCCCCTGAAACTGCTCTGCCAGTCCAAGCCCAGTTCCCACAGACTCTGCTGGGTGAAGCTGTCTTCCCTGGAGTGGCTTTACCGGCAGGCACATGTCTCAACAGACATGTTGGGGTACACCTTCAGAACCACATTCCGGTTCTCATCCAGGAAGAGGACCCCGAGTGAGTTCATTTTGTCTGGCACACAGCAGGGCTCTGGGATGCCCGGGATGATGCCCACGGCCCTGACAATGCTCTGGATGGTGGCGTGGTTGGAAGGGCGAACAATCTGTGGGGTGAGAATGGAGCAGGGTCACTTCAGTGCTCTGGCTGCACCCACCCACCCACTCTGCTTATTGTCATGGCAGCAGACCACAGCACTCCATTGCTATTCCTCTACCGAGACACTGGAAATGGTGACCTGGAAGAAAAACTGAGTTCTAGGTAGGCCCTCCATTTGAACTCAGGGTAAGACCCCAAGCCTGCCTGCCCATCCTGTGTCCCTGCAAGGCACTGGCCACTGGGGGGCGGCCGTGCTTCACACATCTCTGAAGAGCACCTGGAACCTGGCAGACTGCTTAATCCTGAAATTCAGTTATTGAAACTGATGGGGCAGGCTTGGCCTGTGCTGGGGGCTGGACCTATCCACTCCCCAGCTGTGCCTGAGTTGGAGTGGAAGCTGCAGCACCACTGGCATCATGTTGTTTTGTCGTCTTACTGATTTTTGTGGTGGAAATGATCTTCACATCATGGGTGAAGACACTGAAGTATAATAAAATGACTAAGGTGCCTGATCAAGTGCCTCCAGTTAGAGAGTGACCTGGCTTGGCACAGGTGCCCACCTCTGACAAGATGAACACAGCTGTCACTTGCTCCAGCACATTGCTAGCCAACAGAGATGCAGGCAGACTAGGAGGAGCACATGGGGACACCTGTGTGTTCGAGGCTCTAGCTGGTGTCCTGGATGGTGTCTGGGAAGGTGGGGAGGCAGCGAGCCAGCTGATAAGGTAAGGTCAGCCAGCCGTGTGCCTGCAGAAGTCTGGCCTCGCATCTGCCCGGGGCCTGTGCAAAGCCTTTCCAGCAGACCCTATCAATGCCAAGCTCCTCCCTTCTTCTCTCCAATACGTGCATAGCTTGGAGGAGAACCCCCTTGACTCACAGACAAATGAAGACAGCCTACATCTGGGCCTGTGCTTTCTCATCAGTCTGATTTAGTGAGGATCAAAATGGATTTATGCAATTACTTCCTTTCTTGGAGGGACAAGCAGCAGGAAGCTATGTGCTTGGAGTCAATGTTCACAGGGCCTGCATAGGTTACCCAGAGGTGGGTAGCCACCACCCAGCCCAGGAGAAGGGGAAACTCAGAGCTCAGGGCCAGAGCAATAAAATAGCCCTGTTACTGTGTCTTGTCAACTGTTCTAGGGGTGCCCTGAGCCAAAGGAGGGAGGGAGCCTCCAGCAGGAGACACTGAGACTAGAACCTCTCTGGTCACAGCTACCCACACTGGGGTCCCCAGCTAGGAACAGGAGAGCTGTGCCCAGGGAGAGCCTCTGGGACCTGCCCTGTCCATAGGCAGGTAGCATTGCAAACCTAGATGGCATCTGCTGAGAATACCCTTCTATGAAGATGGTCCTCTTTTTCAGAAGACATTTCTGATTGAAAAATTCTAATTTGACCAAGTCAAACTTTCCAAAGAACAGAGGGATCAAAGACAATCAGGGGCTGCATCCACCTCCATCTACCTGTTCCTTGCCTCTCAAGACGGAAGACTATGATCTCCATTCTGCCGATGATGACCAGAAGTCACAAATAGGGGGACTTCCCACTAAAGGGGCAGAGATGAGATGGAGGCTCAGACGACAGGCAGACGGCAGAGGCACTCCATCCGGCTTACCTTGGGCATGGGGAACTCACAAGCTCCAGCGCAGTAGTAGGCATCAAAGGACTTGGGTGAGATGACCCATTCATTCCACCCTATGTCTGCGAAGTCCACCTTCAGGTACCGCCGAGCACAGACCCGCGGCTCGTCCCACTGCCTCCTCCGTGCTTTCTGCATAGTCTTCTCGTCAAAATCCAGCACCTGTGAAGGGATGGCAGGGAAGGAGTCCTGGCCTTTCCTCCTGCGTTCCTTGCGCGCAGGCCGGGGCTTCAGTGTGCGGAACGGGCCAGGCCACAACTCTTGCTTGTGGAAGTGCGGAGCCAAAGGCGCGCGCGCAGGCCGCTCGTCCAGCCCAGGCAGCTCGTTGTCCTGCAGCGGCCCAGGAGCCTGCGCTGCTCGGCGCACACGGGGGTCCGCGGAGCTGTTGCGCACGCCGGCGGCGCGGGGAGCGGGGTCCCCGGCAGGAAAGGGATCATATCTCTGCAGCGTCACTGCCACGCTGTTGGGTTCCGAGATGCCCAGGTCGTTGGCGTAGACGAGGATGTAGGGAGCTCGAGGGGTGGACTTGGGCACCCCAGGGACCCGTTCCCCAGAGTCCAGCTGGGCTGTCAGGAGCAGCTCGCCGTTGCGGCGCGCGGCTTTGACGATGGTGGAGATGTCCTTGGCCTGCCACAGGCCGCGGGATGGAAGCGCCAGGGCCATGGCTCCGCGCAGCAGCCCCTGCGTGGCTGCGTTCTGGGCCAGGCTGCGGAAGAGCACGTGCAGGCGCGTGGGGCCGGGGGGCAGCATGCGGCACGGGGTGCTCTTGGCCCGAGGCTTACAGGGCACATCGCGTGCCCGGGGCCACCGTGGTGGCTCAGAGTAGAAGTGAAAGGTGGCTGTGAGGATCATCTCTGAGTCCTGTATGGAGCTTAGGTTGAAGAAATACACAGCCTTCTGGTTGACCACTTCTACGAGAGAAAGACAGAACACAGCCTGTTGGGTTTTGTCTAGGAAATGCACCTTACACAGAGTGCCTCCTGCCCAGGCTGTGGTGGTGGAGCCCTGCCAGGACCCAGGGTCTCAAGCCCAGCCCATACTTTGACTGCCTCCTTTTCTGCAATCCTCACATCAAACTGATGGGGGCAGCTTTGGTGTCCTTAATGAACAGGAGCTACTTAGGTCAAAGGGGTAGGGAGGGGTGGCAAGAAAGGGAGGGCCAAGGGAGGTGAAGAGGGAAGGAAGAAAGGAGGGAGGGGAGAGGGAGGGAGGGCAGGAGGGAGGAGAGGTGGGAAGGAGGAAGGGAGGGAGGGGAGCTGGAAGGAAGGATGATAGGATGGGTCTCTCCTGTTGGATCTCAAAGCTCCTGTTTCCTGGCTTGTACTCTACAGCCTGAGGAAGACCAATGTGCAAGTGCCACTAACATCTTCACAAGGTGCTTAAGATGGCTTGGGCTGGGTCCAAGCCTTGCCTTAAGGCAGCGGCAACCAGCCCTGTGGCTCTGTTCTAAGCAACCAGTTTTCAAATGCAACCATTAAATACAATTGGTAGCAAACGCAGTCATTCTTGCAAAAACATGAACTAACCGAGACCTTCCTTTCTTTGCTGAATTCTGAGTTCCTTTAAAGGGAAGCTCAGATTATGGATGCAACCATTTGAGCACCTGCTGTGAGACTTTTAAGGCTGCCTCACAAAGAAGGAGCAGTATCAGGATTGCAAAAGGTCAGTCAGGAGCCTCCAAAGGCCAAGTTGTCATCTGGAAGGAACTGCCGCAGCCCCTGTGGTGAGGACCAGGACAATGTGACCATCACATCTGGTCTTCAGGGAGGTCTGAGCACACTCCTGCCTCCACTTCTCTTGAATAGCCAACTACCCCTTCCTTCTCACCAGGCCCCACCACATGTCCCCCATGTCACTCCATGGTCCCAGGAAGCTGGACAAGTCCTCTGTAAGCAAGGAGGGTCTTTCCTGGCATGCGCCTGGGCTGGAGACCAGGACAGTGGAGGTGGCCTCCCTCCCAGGAGGGAACAGCCCAGGAGATGGTAGACACTGAGCTCTCAAGGGCCATGGGTTGGGGCCACATGTCTCTGACACTGGTGTTCAGAGATCAACTGAGATTTAAAAAAACCCACAATCTTCAGTTTAACGTTCCCTATTTCTACTGAGCTATCTTCCTGGCTCATCGTTCCCTATTTCTATTGGGAAAGAAGCACAGCTCTATTGGAAGAATTCATATAAATCCCAAGAGGGAGAAAGAAAGGGAGAAATATTTATGGAGAGCCCCCCAAGGCTACAGATGCCACCTTACCTAGTCCTCCCAACACAGGGAGAGGTTATTGCCCCTCCATATGCCCCATGCATAGGGAACCACCCTGGGTCCTGCTATGCATTTGAGTTTGGCTTCCCAAGCCCTGTGGCCTTACAACTTCAGTCTTGAGGTCCTCATTTTCACCAGCGCCAGTCCCCTGGGGACTCTCTACAGGTAGGAAGTCAGGGAAGAAGCTCAGGAGGCCCAGGCTGCGTATCTGTAGCACCTCTAAGCTGGAGACTTCCTGTGGGTGTACTTGCTGTGACCCACAGCAGGGGTAGGGGGGCTGTGCAGCGTTTGTGCAGGGGTGTCAAAGAGGCTCACTTGTGGCTCCCCGTGCCCCACATTCATTAGCCTGTGGTTGGAGGCCACCACAGTACAGCACCTGCTCCCCAAGTAGCAAATGCTCCAATTTCCCATTGGATGGCGCCATGCTCTGAGCCTCACTATCCTCACCTGCCTCATACAGGCCTCACACGAACTTCTGTGACTAAAAGATATGGCATATGGCATCCCCCAAACAAGGGAGGTGCTTTCAACAGGCCTCTTGCCACTGCCACCAAAGGGACAGAGGGAGGTATAGCCAGTTCCTCTTATGCCAAAGTGAGCAGCCCCACACCCCACTCCTACAAGACCTGCATCCTGACCCAACCACCATGGCAGATAACTTGCTTTATCTAGTTCAGATCTTAAAACATTAATTGTTCTGCTCATATTGCAGATCCAAAGTGAGGACCAGTCTCAGAGGCCTCATGAGAGGGCAGGGGTCCCACCTCTATTGGGCTTGGGTGCTTCTGGCCAAGATTGCTCTTTGCTTACTGGAAAGCCTGCCCTGTGAGCACCTTCCCTGCTGGGACCTGCTGAGACCTAGCTGGGTCACTGTGGCCCCAAGAAATGAGGGGCCACAGGCTGGTCACTCTTCCACATGTGCCTGCCTGTGCAATGTGGCTTGTGGCTTAAGATAGGGACAGGTACCTACCTGAGGTTTCTAGCTGAGATGTGCCCAGGCCACAGGGGAGAAGCCCCCAAACAAGTCCTCATCTCCAATGAACTGTATATAGTGGTAGAGCAAGAAACCCCTCTCCCTTCTCCCCTTGTATCAATCCCCCTTTCCAAAAAGTATCTGCAAAACTCCTACTCTGGTTAAGGGTCAGCTGTCCTGGTTCCTGGCCAAGGTGCTTGAGGTGCTGTGGGGGAGCGCGACCTAGCCAGGAGACAGACAGGTCACAGTGACAATAGCCATGTACAACATCTGGTCACATCAGCCTTACAGAGCAGTGTTCACAGGAGTCTTGTGTGCCAGGAGCAGCACTGGGGCTTCCTTTGCTTCCTTCCATAACCCCAGGCGGAACACAACTTACCAAAGTCCTCCTAGGCCTGACAGTCCATCCTTTCTTGCTATCTTTCCCTGTCCTTGCTGTCTCTACATGGGACTTTTGTCTAGGGTTTTACTGTTCCTTCCCTTGACCAGCTCCCTGCACCTAGTGTCCTGGATACCCCTTCAGGTCTCCTCCCAGGCAGCCTCTCCTGCAAAGCTGCCCTTGGCCCTGGGACAGAAGAGCCACTTGTCACCTCACCTGTCTGCAAGCACTCTCTGACATGTGTATTTATTTGTTATCATTTGCCTTGTTCTTTCCACCAACTCTCAGAAGGCAGCCCTTTGTCAGTACTGTGTCCCTCAGTCCTGGCACATGGCAGGGGGAGCATTCGGTGCTCAGAGATTTGTGGTGGAGGAGGGGATCCCTCGGGCATATTAGATGGGCTCTGTATTGCAGGAAGGGAGAGGACACCAGTGGGGCCGACGAGGCCCTGGCCTATGTGCTCGAGCACAGCCACCACATCCTTGAGCTGACAACCTGGTTCTTTGGCAGGACATGGCAGGCTGTGCAAACACAACTGGAGACAAGGTGCATTGCACCCTCAGCCAGTGACCTCCTTGTGGGGCTCTTTTTTCTTGCCTTTAAATCAGAATCCCCCTTGAGTATCCCATATTTGAAATGCTTAGGACTACATCTATTTTAGATTTCAGATTTTTTAAAAATAAATTTGGACCATATGCATATACCTGATGAGCCCTCTTGGGGATGGTAGCCTAGTCTGGAGACAATGCTTTTCTATTTCTTATACCTTATATATTTGGCCTGAAGGTAATTTCATACAGTATTTTTAGCACATCTGAATTTTGACTGAGACTTGTCACATGAAGTTGGTTGTGGAATTTTCCATGTGACACATCATGGCAATGCTCAAAATGTTTTGAATTTGTGGCTTTTTGGAGTTACAGCTTTTAGATTTGGGTGCCCGTGAAGGAGTTCTGTGCTCCAGGGCTCTCAGCACCTGCCTTGACTGAGTGCCTCTTGCTTACTACAATGACAAGGGACAGGTCATTCACTCTGTGGACAGAGGGCTGGGCCTTCAGTGAGGGTACATAACCAGCCTAAAGTCACACTCCTCAGAAGGGGAGAGGCAAGTCACGAACCTGGGTCTTCCTGACCTGGTACCCATGCCCTCTGTCTTCATATGGAGCAAGAATTCCAGCACCAATTTTGGTCTGTGCTGGCAAGATTGTTGCCATTTATAGCAGCAACCCCCAAGTGACCTTGTCTCTAGATGGGGATCCCTGCTCAGGCTCACCTTCCATGCAGGTGAGTCCCCAGGGGGGATGCAAGCAGCATATCTGAGGGCTGGCGCAGGGCAGGGTAGGAACAGCTTGGACTTAGATGACCAAAGAGAGGGGGACAAAAACCAACCTCCTCTATGCTGAGCACTGTCTCCACCTCCTTCTTACTCTTCAGAAGGGGAAAATAGTTGGTGCCACGGCACACAGCTGATAGCTGGGGGAGCTGGGATTTATGCCTAAATTTGCCTCCCAGTTCCAAAGATGAGGGCTCTGTCAGACAGTTCCAGAGTGTACCAGAATTTCTCCATTTATCTTTTCTGCTGTACTGCATGGGGGGCCTGGGCTTGTCTCTAATGGAGATAGTAGGGGGTGTGTGACAGGGTGACATCAATAGCCTGCTATAGGAGAGGTACCAATCAATGTTATGCATAGATCTCCCCTGTCTCAGTTTTCCTGTCAGTAAATAAGACTCACAGGATATGAATCACTGTCTCCAGGTGCTTTGAGGGTTAAATATTGCGTTCCTGTTACTGGCACCATCCCCATTCCATAAAACCTTAGTCTGGCCAGTGCTGGGCTCAGAACTTTCTCCTTATTTCCTCCTTCCTCTGGCGTCTCAGGCCATGTCCTGCCCATTTTTAGGTAAGTACAGTCAATTCCACAGGCTTTAGTGCTTTACCGGGGCTGTGATCTTGCCAGATGAGTCCTAAGTGGCTTAATTTAATAATGGTGTTCCAGAAATGGACATTAGGTGGTAAATGAAAGGTACAGGGAAGATTGTCTGACTGGTTTTCTGGGCCCCCAGAGCCACTGACCTGGTGAGTCTGTTCAGGGAAAAAGAATGGATGCACCTCTGTGGCAGTGCTCCTCCACCCAAGCCCTGGAAGGCCAGGCTCTCCACGTCTGAGCCTAAGACCACAGATGTTACCTAGAGCCACACAGCCTCTGAGCAGCAGGTGACAGCTCTGACCCCAGTCAGGATGGCCTTCTTTCCTTCATTTAAGGAGAATAGCCTGCATGCTGAGCAGTCTTTCTCCCGATAAATGCCTTGTCCACACAGGGCTGCAAGAGGCGCCCATCCATACTTTCTAGAACAGCACTCTGAAGCCATGAGCAATCACTATGACAACCAGGGTCTTCCCACCACCTCTGCTGCCCAGGAGACACCTCCTCTGTTCTCTTGGGAGCTTGTGAGGCCACCCAGTTCAGCATAGCCTAACCCAATCAGCAGGCTGCTGGGGTCGGAACCCAGAACTCCTCTGGGAGAGCAACACAGAGGGCCTCTGCCCAGCTCTATTTACCATGGATGAAGGCAGGGAGGTGGTTTTCAGACAGCAGAGGGACGGGATGCTTCCACTGCCCAGGGTTCTAGACCATTCCTCAACCTCTTCAACCTGCACACTTATGCTGCGGCCCTGGAGTTCTCAGTGCCAAGCACCCAAGGTCCATAGTGCATGCTACTTCCTGCCACCTGAGCCACTCACAACTCACAGCTGGATGTCCTCCTCCTGCCCAGCCTGGTGCTACCTTCTCCAATTGCTGTATAGCCACCTAACAGCACTCTTCCAGCAGCAAGTGCGAAGGCACTTGACCTCGTTCTCATGCTCCTCAGCCCACTGGAGCCTAAAGCTGGTGTCTGGGTGGGGCGTCCTTTGTCTTGCAACTATGGGAGTCTGCAGAAGAAGGGAACCCTGTGCCACGCCGCTGTCCCACTCTGGGCTCCTCACCGGAGGCTCCCACCTGGCACAGTGCGCTGTGAGTTCATGCGGAGTAATGAATGAAGAAATGTGAGGAAGCGGCACGGGAGGCTGGACAAGGAGGAAGGGGAGACGGAGGAAGGGGAGACAGAGAAAGATCCTGGAGCTTTACTCACCTAGCCGGGCTCGGAAGCTGCGCACAGTGTTGCCTCCTCCAGGCTGCGCGCCCCGCCTGTTGTACTTCTCATAGAGCCGGAGCATGTGGACAGCGACCATGTCCTGGGGTCCTGGGCCCAGCGCGGCGGTGGCCGCGTCCCCTGGGGGTGATTCTTGCAGGTTGTCTGCAGCTGTAGGCGAAAAGGGCCAGGATGGGGCTGAGTGGCTGCAGCCCGCGTCCCGGAACAACAAGAGCAGTGGCAGCAGCGGCAGTAGTCGGGGATTCTGTCTGGTCCGCGTGGGAGCACACGCCATGGCGAGGGTACGGCGGCGTGGGGCGGGAGCCCAGGCGGAGCTCGGGGAGCGTGGGCGCGCTGGGCTGCGGGTGCTGAGGTGGGCGCGGAGCGCGAGGTGCATCCACGCCACTGAGCCCCGCGGCGGTAGCTGGGTGCGGGAGCGGAGTCTGGTGTTGTCTGGGGGACTCGCGCGGCCAAACTTTGCGGCCCACGGCGCAAGGGCCCAGCTGGTTCGGGGGGCGGAGCGGGGCGGGGCGGCCGGCGGCGCCCTCGGGGGACCAGGCTGAGCTCCCCAACCGCTCTGGGCCGCCACCGAATGAGAGGGGGCAGTCACTACCCGCACAGTGTGCGCGCACCCTGGTGTGTGTTGTGTCGCTGGAGTGTGCTCCTGAGTGTGCGCCCGCGGGTGTGGGAGGTGTGGGCGTGGACCAGCGCGCTCCCCGCCACCCTGCCGGGAGCCGGAGACACAGCCTTGCGCCTGGCTCCTGTGTGTCGGCGCCCGCAGCCCAGCTTGGGGAGGGGCCCTGCCTGCCGGGTTGCCCCTGCAATGGCATGCGGGGCTCTGTGGTTGCAAGATGACAGTTCCCCTAGGAGGAAGAGTGTGTGTGTGCCAGCCAGGGTGTCGGAAACGCAAGAGTAAAGTTTGATCTGGCAACTGGGACCCTTTCTAGGCAAGCCAAAAAGAGGAAAACGCCCCCTCACTCTCAAGGCGATGGGAGCGAGAAGGGAGAGCCTGATTAAAGTTAAGAATTAACTGATTAGCTGACTATTTGGCAATGGTGATTCCATTGGTTGAAGAAATACATCAAAGATCCTTATTAATCTTTGGACAGGACCGCATGGAAAAGGACATGCTTTCAATTTGCTGAAAAAACACACTTTCGGTACATCAGAGGATGAAGAGAGAAAGCCTATGGCTGTCCTCAGAAGGGTCCCAGTGCAGTGAGTCTCTGACCCTGGGCAGAAGGTCCTAGACTGTTCCCCTCTGGTAGGGTTCCTTCTGCAAGGGCTGAAGTCGGGGCTGTGGTGAACTTGACAGGGAACTATTGTATCGTAATTTTCACCATCTCTAACTGAAATTTAGCACTTCTCAGTACTGTAAAGCCAAGCAATCAACCTCGATGGCTGTACCTGTGGCTTTGCCATCAGCAGACACCACCCGCAGATGCTTCCGTAGTGCAGCAAGGTTGTTGCAGATTTCTCAAAGGGTTAGTTTTGCTCACTGCTACTTTAAAATTATAGTAATTATCAAGCAAGCTGCTAGTTTAGGCATTAATGGAAAAGAATATACACTACTAAATTAAGATATTGCAAAAAATATTTTAAAAATATTTTCTGACAACTAGCCTGGCCTTAAACTCCAGATTCTCCTGCCTCTGCCCTCTCAGTGCTGGGGTTACAGGGGTGTTCTACTACACCCAGCTTTAAACGAAGGGAAGGATCTCCTTCAATTCTATGTTTTTCTAGAAAGCTCTGGGACACCATCTATGCTACATTTCAAAGGCCTATTGGCAAACTTGTGAACATGCTGTTCCCTTTACTTGGTAAATTTGGGGTCTGGAGCCAAAATAGTTACTTTTCTTGGAGGGCTCACAATGCAATAATTGAAAAATTGCTGGAAAAATCTTCTGTCAGGGTGTAAAACATAACCCATTTGTAATTAAAAAAAAATTTCATACTGTCAAATTAGAGACCATCTGATTGAGACTGATCCTCAGGCCCATAGCCTTTGGAAAAATGTGGATGGGTATTTTATTTGAAAAATGAGCTCATATTGCCTTCTACTTCTTGTTAGTACAGCTTCCATTTTTGTCTGTAAACTTAAGTATGAAAAGGTTTGCCTGGAGGTGAGATGGTCAGATTGCGGCCCAGACGTGCATCTCCACCTAGAAATTATCCCATCTTTTGCTGCACCCTCCCCACCCCCACCGCCCTCCTTCACCAAGTGCCCCTCACTTCCCCTCTGCCCCGCCTTCTCCCCCAGAATGCCTCTGACCTGCCCCAGCTGGGGGTAACCTCTGCTCAGGGGTAGTTTTGTCTCTGCTGGGGCCATACACAATCAAGGCCTGTGAAAAGGAGGGTGAGTCTGCAGGGGGCCCACACAAGCTGGGCTATTGGGATCTGGGTCCATTAAAGCCTTCTGGCCCTCCTTAACTCATTCCCGCAGCATTCAAGCCTGCTGGAGGGTCAGGCTTTAGCCAGCACTAAAACCTGTAGAGTACAGATTCTCTGACATTGTTGGGAAAGAATTAAGGCATCAGCCAGGGACGGCTAATATTTCTTGCCTCATTTTATTGCTGAACAGCGGGACTGTAAAGTTTCAAACACTGGAGCACTGTGGCCCCCTTTCATGTGGCCGAGATGATGGGATAAAAATGTGTTTGGTGAAGCAATTCAGATTACCACTGGGTCACATCCTTGCTGGCTTGCAGCAAGAACCTTGAAACGGCTTCACTAAGGCAAGAAACAATCGCTGTGTAATCGCAGCTCAGGCAGAGTGGCATTTGGGACATGGAAAGGAAGCTAATTGTGGAGTTTGCCAATGAGCATGTTTTGTTTTTAATAGCTCAGGCTATAGCTCAGAGTTAAGGGATTGATAGTGGACTTCGGAGACAAGTCCTTGATCCATGATTCTGATAGCCTCAGAGAGCACCCTTCTGTCCTTCCCGATATTAAGGCATTGAACTTGTACATGGGGATGGGTGTGTCCAGTTCAGAGAGGGGAGAGATTGTTTGGCTTTCTGCCTTGTATGCTGGGGTGACAGGGTACACTTATACCCAAAAAATGATGAAAAAGGAGAGGAGGCTTAATGGTTAGAAAGTGTGCTGTTCCTTTGGTTCAATCAAGAACTCTCCCCCAATAAGTAAGCGAAATGTTCCCAAGCAATTGTTTCATGAGTTTCTCAGTCAATTTATAGATGAGCCAGTTTGCAACTCAAAGTAGTCCTACAGCCTTGAGCAGTCCTGGGTTCTCTCTGAGTCCTAGAAGGTTGATCCCTGCGCTGTTCCCTCTACAGTGCTCAGTGCTGGGTCTGTGGCTTCTTGTCAACTCACCTTGGAACTAGGAGGTCCAGATGATCCCATGGAGTCAATCGGGACAAAGATCACATCCCTATTTTCACCACTGCCTAGCTGTGCGACCTTAAGCACCTCACTTGCCTACTTTTGGCTTCAGTTTCTTCAACTCTAAAATGAGGACACAAGCAGACATTGCAAGGGCCATTGGCAGGAGTTTAGCTGGAGATGGTATGAAATTGCATCAATTGTTGCTAATGCTCTTTTTATGGTGTGTTTGAAAAAGGCTGTAGCACATTTAAAGTGGAGCTGGACTGGGAGATTTGGTAAGAGATTCCCGGCTGGCTGCTCCTTTTCTGTGGAGGAAATATATTTCTCAGTGTGCACAGTGCCAAGAACTGAAAAGGAAAGGAGAGGGAGAGGGGCTATTTCCTTGATTAGGAAGTCCCAGGCCTCTGCCAAGGAGCTGTTACTATCAGTGTCTGTGGGAGGATGATTCACAGCTCTTCATCTTGATTTTCAAAGCTCTTGGCCCTCAAGGACAAAAGAAACGCAAGGGAGTCCCTGTTCCCATTTGGTACGTGAGCTGTGGGGCGCTAGAGACAAGAATCCAGGGCCTCCCCAGGCCGCTGGGCCTGAGGGCAATAAATCTGTGAAATAGCAAGCACAAAGGACTTTATAATCAATGACAGATTTTATTTTTGCTCTGGCAAAATCCATGCATAGAGTTCACGTTTTATAGGGAAATAACTACCCAGTTCAGGACTCCTCCTTAGCCCACATTCTCTTTCTTGAAAGTCAGGGAAACTCGGAGAATCAAAGGCAGCTCCTCCGAGAGCTGTGGCAGGCGAAAGCTTGACTTCCCCTGGGCGGGAACCCAACTCTCCCGTTACTTCCTAGGGTGGCGCGGGCCATTCATTTCTGTTTTGCTAAAATACCCGTGACATGTGAATGAGCCAGGATTACAGAACATTGTCTCGGTCAGTAATCTGAGCCGGCATGGGCTCTGGTTTGATGAAATATGGTGCTCTCTGAGCAAACATGGGAATTGGTATTACTTCTCGTTAAAGCCGAACAGTGGGACTATTTAGAGCTGATGCATGAATGCGGCACTGTGGGGAGTGACAATTTGAAGGGGGCCGATTGGGGGAGGGGGGCGGGTACATGTGTGTCTGTGTTTGAGTTGGCCAGAGCCAGCCATTTAAGAGAAGTCTATGGGAGAGGCAGCCAAAGGGACACTTGGAAATTGGGGCTCCTTTGGAGGCTGCAATCACTACCACAAATAATCTTCCAAGCCTTTGGCTGATCTCCTTGGCAGGATAGACAAAGCCTGAGATGCTAGTCAGGCCATTCAGGTCCTCACCATCTGTCCCATCTGTCCTGGTTGAGTCTCTTCCACTCTCTGTCCCTTGCCAGGCTCTCATAGCCCAGAATAAGAAGAACCCCATGCGATGGGCCCTGAGTCCTCATCCCAGCCTCCCACTCCCAAGGTGACGCAGTGGTGCTGGCTTGCAGAACCCAGACACGGATACTGCCAGGGCTGGTGTCTGCTCAGGCCTCAGTCCTGGGTGTGTCCACAGGACTTGCTGTCCACGGGCCAACATTGGCCCACTTACCCAGAGTTCCTCCAAATTCAATGAACAAGCAAGGCCAGGAGCAGAGGTCTGGAGAGCTCGGAAGGTCATGGGGCCCATAGGGGCTCTCCCTGTGTCTCCCCCCTCTTGGCCAGTTTTGGGTCCTTCCTGCCCTAACATGTATAATGCCATAGCTGTGCCCTTTCACAGATCTGCACCTACCTTCCCATCTCAGCCTGGTTCTAGAACACTAGGCCTGAGGTCACTGGTGCTAGGAAAGATCTGAGGAGGACTCTGATGTGACTGGGGCTTATGTCTTCTGCTACATGGTGGTGGTGAAGACTCTGACTGGTACAGGTGGCATCTGGATGACTCTTGGCTGAGTTGGAGTGTCAGTCAATGGCAGGGTCAGAGGAAGGGAGAACTCATAAGTCAAAGCCTGGCTCTGCTGAGCCCTGTGCATGCATGGGGGATAGACTACAAAGTTTTGAGGATTAACCATGAGTTTAAGGCATGGTGAGGCCATCAGAGGACCTTCCTAATGGCACCCAAATGAACCCTCATTTCTTCTCCACCTGAGAATCATGCCTAGGATTTAAAT